ATATATATATATATATATATTTATATATATTATTATTTTATTTTATTTTAATTTTATTTTATTTTTACAAAGTACCTATTTTAATTATAAATATTTGTTTGTTTGGTTTTATCCCCCTAAATGATTCCATTGTGTTTGTAAAAATGATATTTAATTAATTTCATATATTTTTACTGTTTAAACTTATGGTTTAAGTCAAGTCTTCAATTCAATTATGCATTTTGCTTTTCATTATATATTAGTTGAATATTTGCTGAAATATTCATGAGTTCTACTTTGAGCAATATTCCATTTGCATTTGAATCTTTTTGCCCCATATTTTTGCCGCCTCCTAATACATAAATAATTGTTAGCTATTTACAGTAAACTGTGTTTATTTATGCCGCCCCAACACATGCATTAAGGGCAACTATTGGATGCGAAACCCTTTTACGGTCTGAACAGCAGCGCAAAAACCACTTCCGCCTTCTCATGCCACCCGTTCGCATACTACACGCGCGCACTGTGCTGCACGCTTGGCTGGGCACAGCTTCTACATATTTATTATCTGTTTATATTTGTCCATGTAGTGTATGTGTGTGCGTGTGAGTTTTTTATGCCATGCATTAATGTAACGATGCATCATTTATGCCATTTATTATCAGCATATAAATGCAAGATTTGGGTCCTGCTGACTGGAAGGTTGTAGGAGTAGACCCAGCTGGCCACGCCCCCTTGCTAACTGCCTGGCCTTTAATTTCTCTGACGTGTGCTACCTTTTGGTCTATATCGTATATGTTTTTGCCTTTTTTTTTCGTTGCCTACTATTAGACAGTCTTTGATAGCCAAGTTTTGTGCTGGCTAATGAATTTTTACGGCTTCCGGCCACGCCTGCTCGCCTACGAGATTCATGTGATATTAATAAATCAGGCAACAGCATGTGTCTAGGCCAAGTTAAAGCCTTTGGGCATCAAATGCAATTTGCCTCATTGATTTTATAGCCCTTTAAACTGTTGCCCCTGACGCTGACTTCTTTGTTGGCCAGTGCAATTAACTCTCACACACACACACACACACATGCAGACGCATACATACATATAGCAAGCTCATACATAGAAAGTTTAGTAGCCGGAAGCTGCGGTTGTTTGGACTAGATCCCTGTTGCCGTGCACAAGCCTCAACCTAGACACACACACACACACACACACACAGGCACGCACCCATACAACAGTGTTTTCTTAGCCATTTTGCGGTTTGTCCTGTTCTGGGTTAGCTTCAAGCCATTTCGTGGCACAATTTACATGCTTTAAGTGCGGTCTAAGGTCGCAACACTTTTAAGAGTTATTGCTGGCGGTTTTTATTTGACATGTGACATCATTTTATGTACAAGTAAAGATAAGCATATGAGCTATAGAAGTATTGAGTTTACGGCTCAAAGGTATTAAAAATTCTCTTGTAACTGGGCCAATTGTTGAGCCATTAAAAAGCTGAACTGCTCGAAATACGTATATGCCTTATAAGAACTGATGTATCAGGTTTTATGACTCTTGCCCTTAAAGTCCGCGAGTTAGAGTGGTTCAGGGAAGAGTTGTTGATTTAATCGAAGAAGTAAAGTAAGACATCAGATGAAAGAAAATAAATAATATATATGTATATGTTCTCAGTACACGTTCATATATGTACATATATATATTTCTGTATTTCCTATGGATAGCATTTAATAAACTCAGCTTCCCATCCTGAGCAGGAAGTTTCCGTCTTCTCTCAGTCATTTTGATTAGCTTTTAATGGCTTCTGGTTTATAGAACGTGATTCAATCAAACAATTTTGTTCTCCTCGCAACTCTTTCTAATTTGAATGTGCCCAAAGGTAACAACACAGTAGATGCCGGACATGCCAGGCTCGAGTCGAGTGTGAGAGGCGCCCGCTGCCAGAGCGGGCTCGAGAGCTGCAGCAATGAGCAACGAGAACAACGACGACAACACCAACACTATAAGCAATGACAACAACAACAGCAACAATAACAGTGACAACATCTACAGTAGCAACAATGGCAGCAGCAGCAGCAGCAGCAACGTTTGGTCAGCCAGCAATCTGGATGCGATCAATCAAAGCGTCGAGCTGAATTGCCTGCTGCAGCAGCACATCGAGACATCGACCTATGGCAATGCCAGCGACCATTGCCTCACTCAATTCGATTCGATACTCTGCTGGCCGCGCACGGCCCGAGGCACACTGGCCGTGCTCCAGTGCATGGACGAATTGCAGGGCATACACTACGACAGCAGCAGTGAGTACAGTGCAATCAGCTATTAAAGTACAGTGAAAACTGACATTGTTGAACAGCAAATCGGCTAGGAATGAATATAAACTTATTGAATGAGCTGATGGCAGATATATAATAATTTTGCATTTTCGCTTTTTATATTTCTTTACTTTCTTTACATAAAACATGAAATTCCCATACATCTACTAAATGCACTAAAAATGTGCTAAATGCAGAATACGTACAAAATATACTAAAAATCAACTAAGTGTGCTAAAAATGTACTAATTACACATCATTTATTGCATGTACTCATTCATTGTGAAAATACAAACTTAGTTTTGTTTCTAAACTATCCGGTTGAATACTCTCTATATTAAGAGAGCTTTTACTGTATTTATTTATTCATGTTTACATTTATATACTTTGATCTGATATTCACAATTTCTTTAAGTGTACTAAATGTACTAAATGTTCTAAATTTACTAAATTTTCTATATGAAGTAAATGAACTATTGGTACTAGAAACTATATACTATATAAGCTAAATTGATTAAATTTATTTATATTTACATATGCCCTCTAATAGCTATAGATGTGTGATTTACCTAAAAATGTACTAAACAGACTAGATGAAAAAGTATTTTATTTATTAAATTAATTATTGGAAGTATTCTCTAGACGAAAAAATATACTAAATTCCACACAATATTCCACACCTTTGAATTGTACTAAACTCTACTACACATATTTAATAATTGTATTTCTTTTCTAAAAGTACAGTCAGTTAATAGGGTTTTCACTGTACCCACTATGTAACCCTCGTAGCTACGTTTAACCTATGCAACATTCCGTACTCCCCACAGAGAATGCAACACGCTTTTGCCACTTGAATGGCAGCTGGGCGCAGTACACAAACTACGATGCATGCGCCCATTTGCCAGCGGAGACGGAGACGGTGCCGGAGTTCGAGACGATAGTGGAGCTGCCGACCATCATTTATTATATTGGCTATGCATTAAGCCTGGTCTCGCTCACCCTGGCGCTGATTGTTTTCGCCTACTACAAGTGAGTGTCTAGCCGTTATCTAGCCCCATAGCTATGTAGCCTTTACTTGCTGCCTGCTCCGTCTTTCTCTCATAGGGAGCTGCGTTGCCTACGCAACACCATCCATGCCAATTTGTTCTTCACGTACATCATGTCGGCTTTGTTCTGGATACTGCTGCTGTCCGTGCAGGTGAGTCGCGCCCAGACAGTGGCCATTGCTCATTCCGTTTCGTTGTTGTTGTTTTCCTTTTACCTTCATCTATTCTGCCCTTAGATCTCGGTGCGCAGCGGCCTCAGCAGCTGCATCGCCCTGGTCACGCTTTTTCATTTCTTTACGCTGACCAATTTCTTTTGGATGCTGGTCGAGGGACTCTACCTCTATATGCTGGTGGTCAAGACCTTTTCCGGCGATAATATACGCTTCAATATCTACGCGTCCATTGGCTGGGGTAAGTTTTTTTTTCTTCTCCTTGGGTAATTAAGCTGTCATCTACAAGCATCCAATTCTACTATCCCGCTGCTTTTTGCTTCCTCTCTTCGCTTTTTGGCCAGGCGGTCCGGCGCTGTTTGTGGTCACCTGGGCCGTGGCGAAGGGCCTGACAGTGAACTACAACAGCAACGCGGAGAAGGTGAGTGAGGGCTGCACTTTTGGATTGGATTGGGTAGCTCATTAAAGTTTTATTCGCGCCCAGTACGACATCAACTGCCCCTGGATGGAGGAGACGAACGTGGACTGGATATTCCAGGGACCCGTCTGCACGGTGCTCATCATCAATTTAACATTTCTGCTTCGCATCATGTTTGTAAGTTCTTTGAAATGCCCACACAGCGAGAGTATTGCCAACAGCTCGACCGTGTTTTTTTTTGCTTTTGCTTTTTGTTATTTTTGTTTCTCTCTCTCGCCCAGGTACTCATTACAAAGCTCCGTTCGGCGAATACCGTTGAGACGCGCCAGTATCGCAAGGCGGCCAAGGCTCTGCTCGTGCTTATACCGCTCTTTGGCATCACCTATCTGGTGGTGCTGGCAGGACCCTCCGAATCGGGCCTAATGGGTCACATGTTTGCCGTGCTGCGCGCCGTTCTGCTCAGCACCCAGGCAAGTTCTCGGCTTTGCATCTGTTTTGTTTCTTTTTGCTTCTTTTTTTTTTTTGTTTTTTTGCTGGCTATACAAATATTTGCGCTTACGCTTGACAGGGCTTTTGGGTGTCGCTCTTCTACTGCTTCCTCAACTCGGAGGTGCGCAATGCGCTGCGACATCATGTATCCACCTGGCGGGATTCGCGCAACATCCAGCGCAACCAGAACAGAAGGTGGGTGCTGCTTTCAAATAGTTTTTCACACTAACACTATCTCACTCTATACTCTCTCCCCCTCTCTCCCACTCTATTTTTTCTCTTCATGTCTGTGCTGGTTTAAAAACTGTTTTCGAATATCCCGACAGGTATACAACAAAAAGTTTCTCCAAGAGCGGAGGCGGTGGCTCGCCTCGCGCTGAGAGCATGCGGTAAGGCAAAAACTGTCTTAAAGTCTTTTTCGGAGATTTTAATTACACGCACTTGCTGCGTTTAATGAGTGTCTGCTAGGAGCATAATGAGCGGGCAGGTGCTACAATCAGATTATGTTACGCCTGAACTAGTTCATTTTACTATTAATTATTATTTAAAGTTTAAACTAAAATCTCTTTTAAGTTCCATGGAGTAAAGTTGGAAAATTAATAATGAATAGACAAGTGGAGAGGCTGTAAGGCGAGCAGGCTACAAAAACAGATTTTTTTACGCTTGAACTAGTTCTTTTTGTATATATTATATATAAAAGAATATTTATTTTTGATATTTGCAAACATTTTTCATATGGAACTAAAAAAAAGACTTTTTGAAAAACAAATTTTTAGACAACAAATTTTGAGAGCTTTATAAAAATATTTAATAGCATATCGATATGCGAAAATTTTATATTATTTTATATTTTTTGATTTTTTTTTTATTTGTTTTATTTTATATTATTTTGATTTTTGATTTTTTAATTTTATATTATTTATTAATTTTTTTTTTAAATTTTTTATGCCTTTAAATTAATTTTCTTAAGGACATTTGTTTATTGTGTATATAAATAGTTTCATACATATATAAAATATAATAAAAATTTATATTAAAACTAATTCGAACACATTTTCAGACACTTTAAAAGTAATTCAAATATAATTTTATAAATATTAAATTTTATTTTAATTTTTTAATATTATTATTACATTTTTTTAAATATTTAAGATGCCTAAAATTATTCGCGGTAGTCCTAACTCAACAGTTTTAGACAAATCTACATATATGCTAAGCTTCCCATTTGATAACCCTTCCCCAAATTTAATAGCTGATTTGATTTGTATTAAGTTGTCTATTTGTAATCAGCCCATTGACCTCGTACTATGGCCGTGGCAAGCGGGAATCGTGCGTATCGTCGGCGACAACCACCACGCTGGTGGGTCAGCATGCACCGCTGACTCTGCACCGCGGCTCGAACAACGCATTGCATATGCTGCCCACGAATAATGCAGCGAGTGGCAGCACGCTCAGCGTCATGCCGCGCGCCGTCAGTCCCCTAATGAAGGTAAATGCAAAATGGAATAACAAATCTCTTTTGTTTTTCTTTGTTCTCTTATATGTATATGGAATACGTAAGGAAGTTTGATTAATTTCAGCAGGGACTCGAGGAGAACTCTGTGTAGAGGGACGAATGGCGCAGACAGAGACGAATACTCACACACACACACACACACACACACACACATACTCGCATACAGCTTAAATGATGTCTCCTAGGATATTGATGTTGTTGTTGGCATTGATGAAACTGTAAATTATACAACTAAGTAGTCAAGATTTTAGCAAATGGCAAGCAAGTTGCAAGCATCTTAAGAGACTGAACTGAAATTATTCATTTTCGACTTTTCGTTAACTTTAATCCACGATTCACACACTCAACACTCGATGAGTCAACTGGCTTTTCCTTCCTTTCCACTTATGCATAGCTAAATGTAGTTTTAAATCTAACTGTTGGATGTTGTAAGTGTTTTCCTCCCGCCCCAACGGTAACTATGCGAACGCTACCTTAAACTAATCTATATGAATGTATGTATATTTATGTATAAGTCAAGAGCTAAATGTTAAAGAAACCAAACGAAAACGAAGAAAATGAAACAAATAAAACTAAACTATTTATTTGAGTGTATACGAGGCGCAGCATCAACCACACATTTTATCCACCTGGCTAAGTAAATGTTAAATAGTAACTGTCATTGCAATGCACAGCATAAATAAATCTCTGCAATTCGTAAATACAAAATTCGTTTCTCTTTTATGTTTTGCATATAAATTTTATCATCATATTCTATTTATCTGAACTCTCACTCACTCACTCTTTGGGTCTGGAAAAATATCATTAATTTTGATAGCTTATTGTGCTGCTGCTTCTCAATGAAATTTTAATTTTCTTGTTGCCATAATAAAAAGCTGAAAACAAATGAAAGTAAATATGGAAGGCGACTGCACACATCAAAGCAATTTCTGTTGCGCCCAGCAACAGTTGCTGAATGGCAGCAATCGTTATTATTATTTTTTTTTTCTTTACTTATTTTAATTGCATTTTTGCAGTGTTTGCTTTTGTTGTGGTTCGCAGAATCATGAAAATTAATGCAAAATTTTCTTTTTTAATTTGATTGCTTGACGCGTCTTTTGTCAGCGCCGCCTTTTGTTAATTATGGATCAGGACTAGGTAAGTTAGCGCTTAATGGCTTTATGTACTAGTAACTCCTTAACAAGGACTCTGCTCGACTGGCCTGACGTTTGCGGCGTTATGAATAAACCATTGCAGCAGACGCCCGTAAAAATGCATTGCACTGCCACCGTCCAATTCCGCTGGCCATAAATATTGCATGAGTCGAGCCAAGCTGAGCGCAGAAACCAAGTGAAGGGTAGGCCAGACGCGCAAATACCCTAGACAAGGCCTAAAACTGATATATAATACTGAATTTTGAGCTGATAAAATATATTTATATAAAAGACTTTATACAAATTTTTTATATTTAGTTTTAGTCTTAGTTTCTGCTGCCTTCAGTGAAAATTTCTTTTGATTCAGCAAAACTTGCGCCGCTCAGACTTTATAGTTCTCGAGTTCAATGGGTTCACGTGGCTGAAAATAGTTCAAAGGACACGGCTTGTGCATGCTGATAAGGCATATGAAGAGCACTTGAATATTTTAGGGTCAGCCATGCTGTCTGCTGCCACTTATTCATATTTTTGCTAGCCCAGCTTGGCCATATACATATATACATAGATATATATATAAATATGCATATGTATGGGGGGCAATATGAATGCAAAACATGAGAATTGCTGTAGAGGCAACCGCATGAAGTGCATATAAAATGAATATGTTTATTAATATAATATGTATGTGCATGGCACGGCTAAAGAATGCCAGTTAGCGCCGGCTTCAAGCCGGATATGCGCTGGCTACGCGGCGTATGAGTAATAGAACAGTTGAGCAGAGCAAAAGCAAAAAAAATGTATAACAGTTATAACAGTGAGTGCTTGTACTTAAGCTAATGGCAATATTTTCGAGCTAACACATACAGAGGCAAAGTTCAAGGCACTTAAATGCCAAATGAACTACAACAACAACAATAAAAATTGGGCAGCATTTATTGTGGGCGTCATTTCGTATGTGTTGCGGCAATTGCAAAGGTTTTTTTTATGTTTATGTAAATTAGTTGCAATAAATAAAGATTTTTACAGACTGTAGAAATTAAGTAGCATTTGTGTATGTGTGTGTGTGTGTGTGTATGTATGTGTAGCTGTGGCTGCTGTTCTGGCAACGTCCTTGCTTGCTTCTTGTTGATGAAGTGCACAACTTTTGGCACACACACACACACACGCCTGTCAAATGCAGCTGAGCACAAGGACACTTGGTACTTTGCTACCTGACTGTGCCGTTTCCACTTCCAAGTATATCTGTTTGTGGCCCCTCCGCGCACAATGATAACCACAGAATGCCAACTGCCAACTGCCAACTGGCAATTGCTAACTGGCAACTGCCACAAAAATGCCAACGTCAATTGTAACATTTTAATTAACCAAATTGTGCGTTGCTTCCTTCTTTCATTCATTCATTCATTCCTTTCAACAGTAAAGCACAAAAGCTTGGCCAACATAACGAGCGCGAAATGAAAACTCAATTAAAAGTCGCTTAGACGCTCAAATTGCTGCCGCCTGTTGAGGATATAAACACACACACAAACACATACGCACACGCACACGCACTTGCACACACACATCCACAGCACACACACTCAATTTCTGAAGGCGCTTTAATTAACTGCGGACGGGCGAACATAATTTCCAGTTGCCGCATTATCAAAAGTGAGTTTTACATTGCCCACTCGACCCGCTGCCAGCCAAAAATTATGTTTAAGGTCAGCCGTGTGGCTGGGCCGACAAATTGACGACCGCAAAATGTTGCCACAAAGCCAGCGCAACAACAACAACAACAACAGCGGAAGGCTAAATAATTAGCCAAGTTACACAAAACACAATTTACAATATTTCATTTGGTTTTACTTAAAGCACATAATTCCAGCTTCAATTTCAACACGCAATTTTAATTAGTCTAAGAAAAAGTTGACGCTATGCTTAAATTAACAATTAATTAAAGAAGCTTAAGAAATGTTCATTTATTAAAGTCTATGTAATACATTACTGAATTTAACATTAATATATTTAAATTTTTATAAAACTATTTATTAATATACTTCAAATGGAAGAATATGAATATAAAAATGGAAAAAAAATTAAATTAAATTAATATAATAAATTTAAAAAATATATATATTTAAATTTAAATATGAGTACTAAAATTTAATGTGAATAATAATAATAATAAAAAATAATTTAAAAAGTTAATTAAATGGAAAAATATCTATAAATTTAAAAAATACATATATAAATTTAAAAATATATATTTTTTATATATATATATTTTTTTTATATTTTATTCATTTTTTCTACTTTTATATTCATATTTTTATATTGAATTTATCTTAAAGAGGCTACATATTATTTTAAGCAATTTAAATTTTTTTTTATTGAAATGTTAGCTGTTGATAAAGCGAAATAAAAATTCTCTGTCTAGAACATGACGGGAACATAGTAAAAATAAATAATTTCCTGTTTACGAGATGCGAGCTGTGAAAGTTTGAGTTTGTCACATCTTAGGAAATTACTATATATATATATATGTATATATTTTTCTTTAAAGCTATAAATCAGTCATACCCTGAAAGTGTTATATTAGAAAATAAAAGTATAGAAATATGCAGTTCTACTCCCAGAGAAACAAAAGGTTTTGTTGTGTCATTCCTTTGAAATGTCAATATAATTTTTATTGCGCCTGTTGGGTATGCAATGAAATTTTACGCAAATATTTAGCATAGACCATTCTCCTGTGTTTGCTTGTAAAATTATTTATAAATTAAACAATAATATTTGTATTATTAATTATAACGCTCCTTAAGCTCCTATGCCAAACTATCAAAGCCAACATAATGAAGCTCCTAAAATAGATTTAATTTGACAAACATTATTTAATAGCTCATAGCAGACTGTCGAAATGGATTTCCGTGGAATTTCCATGATTTAATGAATAACTAAGCAACTTATTACAGTTCTCTCATATTAATAGAGCTCCAGTGTAGGTAACTCTCGGCGCTCAGCTATATGCTGCTGTGATTTATGGCACGTCGCGGCAAATCCATTTTAATTATGCTCGACTCGCACATTTATTTCAGTTTGAGTAGCTGGCATTAAAGCTTGAACTTTGTGCGCACAAGTTGGCGACTCATTTGGGGAATTCTCTTTAATCTAGCGGCCACAAAATGAATTCCATCGACATGGTTTCACGCTCCAATGCCACGGAAAATGTGCCTGGGCCGCCAGGCACAGGATGTGGCAGTCGCCCGCTTGACTGCTCGACTGTCTGGTTGGCCGGCCGGCCGGCCGGCCGTCTGACAGTCCCCTGGGCGTGTCTTGTGTTATAGCTAATTAAATATTTTTGCTCTGGCCAAAGGCATGTCACTGCTGTAGAGAGATTAGTGAAGAAACTTCCCGTTAAGTTGCTGTCGCAAACTGACGAAGTTGCTGCTGCTGCTGCTGCTGCTGCTGACAACTTCAAGCACTGTCCGTTAACGTTTAAAGAACAATTTCCATCAAAACAAAATGGAATTAGCTGTCAATCAACTGGACTATGTTTAGTTAATATAGATAAAGTTATACATGTAAATTGATGGACGCAGCGTGTCTAGCTATGTCTCCTGCTCCATCTCCAACGCCCTTGAGAATTCGCTTGGACATGGAAAAACCATATGCAGAAAATTTCTATAAGACTTTTCAGAGTTTTTCTTTAACAACTCTCAGTTCACTTCCATTTTTGCTTATACAGGGTATATCATCGGTATTATCATCTATTCTCTTACACTCCGCGTTGGCTGTTGACTGTCATGCATACCAATTATTTTGATAGCCCGTCTATAAATACTCTTTAAACGCTCAAGCTGCCAACTCATGAACTCTGCCGTCAGTGGAGCTGCCTGCCAGCCAAGCATTTTGCGCACAATTGCGGCGTTTCCATAGAATTCAGCCAAGATTGCTTTCTATTGGGCGCACAGCCAAAGGAAGAAATCAATCAATATAAAGTAGCAAAACATTTGACATCAGATCAATCGCAGGCTTAATTGATTGCATGTGCCAGTCAGCTGACAATAACAACAGCGGCAGGAGCAGGAGTAGCAGCAGGAGCAGCAGCAGCAGCGGCAGCAGCAGCAGCAACAACACCAATTATTGCTATGGCAGCAAACATCAATAAAAACATGGGCCACAACTAGCGAAGCATTGCCAACAGCAACAGCAACAGCAACTTAAACTAGAACATTTAGAGCAACAATAGCAGCAGCATATGTGACAACAACAACAACAACAACAGCAGCTGGAGCATGGGTATATATTTGTAGAATTATCGAAAGGAGCTACTTCAATGACAATAGCAATGCACACAAAGGAAATCAAAACGGCAGCAATCACTTCTAAACAGCAGCAGCATCCGTTGCATGAAGAACACTTCAACAGCAACAACTACAGCAGCAGCAATGGCCATCTGTAGCTGCAGCAGCATACAGATTTACGGCAAATGCAACGGAAATATTAACTAAAATAACACCATTAGCAAACAAGCTGCTTTGCAGCAGCAACAGTCGCAGCTTATCCGGTTGCAACAGCAATGGAGCAGTGAGGAGGGGCAGCCAACATCTAAAGCATCAGTAGCAGCAACAATTGTATTTATTGCTATAAATAAGGCAGCACTAGCAACTGCAGCAACACCAGCAATATTAGTATGATCAGCAACATCAGCAATGTCAGTAATATCTACAACATCAGCAACATATCAGCAATATCGGCAATATCAGCAATATCAGCAACATCAGCAATATCAGCAGCAACAGGAACATCCAGCAACCTGAGCTTGATCTGCAATAACAGCAACATCAGCAATAACAGCAACATCAACAGCATCAGCAACATCAGCAACATCAACAGCATCAGCAACACCAGCAACATCAACAGCATCAGAAACATACAGCAACAATAGTAACTACAGCAACATCAACGATAACAGTCACATCAGCAACAATTCCACTCTAAAGAGCAGCAACTGCAACAGCAACATTGAATACAAAGTACCCAATATTAGCAGCAACAATGGTTTCATTAACAATAGAAATAGCATGGCCTTAACTAATAATTGCCACAGTCACAACAGCAACAAACAAACAGTCAATATCAGCAGTAGTAGTAGTAGTCGGATTATTATAAAAAACTTTAACCCATAAGCTGCAGCTATGTTGAGAGCAAACATTAAAATAATTAACAGCTGTGTATAAGCTTAGCAGCAGCAACAAAGGCAGCAACCTGCGCCAGCAACAATCAACACTAGCAGCAACATGGACAATGGCAACAGCTTATAGTTGAGCTCATTTCAAACTGTAAAATTGAGTTATTGCCAATCAAAGGGTTGAATGCGTTAGCTACCTCAATAACTAGGCGCTATGATTACCGAGTTAAATTTTGCAGGCAGTTGGGAAGTTAAAATGTTCGCATAATTGCAAACGCTTGAGTGCCAAAATCTAATAAGCCGGCGACGAGTGTGGTTGCTGCTAACGGGTTATCACGAACAGGCAACGCACTCAAGTAAGCTTAGCTGCTCAAACACGTTTCAAGCAGCAAAGTGAAGTGTAAAAGTAGCTGCTGTACGAGTGTGTGTGTGTGTGTGTGTGTGTGTGTCAATAAGGCAACAGAAGATGACACTTTAATGCAACGGGGTGCTCTATTTCAGCTTCAGCTTTAACATACAACACTCGCCGGCGCATTGGCAATATATTCATATTTTGCAGCAGCTGCGGCGACATTTGCATCACCAGCAGCAACAGCAACGGCAGCAACAGCTGCTGCCGTGCGTAGCGTAATGTAAAGGCAGAAACAACTCTGTGGGGAGAAATGGCTGCCAGCAAAATTTGTAGCATACTTTTGTGCGTGCTGCAGAAAGTTTTCTTCCTTCCTTCATTTTTGTGCTTTGTTTTTGTTGCCGTTGAACGCAAACGTGCGGAAAACTGTTGCAACCTGTTTGAACCACTAATTGGGCCATTAATAATGCGGCCTGTTGCTGATATTTCACGGGGCAACAAGTCATTCGGCGTGTATCTACAAAACTTTGCGGCCAAAAATATTATTTTAGGCATGGTCCCAGCTTCATTGTGGTCGGACGCTTGCCATTTGATATCTATGAGGGCGGCTGGGTGGCTCAAAGTTCGAGCTTTGTGTTGTGTATTGAATACTTTACCATGTTCTTTAGCTGGTAGCTAAAAAAAAAGACACACACATGAAACAAGGAGAGAGGGTGGGGGAGAGAGTTGACCACATTGGGCAGCACTTGTGGCTGCTTTTGATAAAGTTTAGTGTATTTGGTTTTGCTGGCCATTTAATTGGGTTTTTGGTTTTAGCACAAAGCTCAACTGAAACCCAAGTGCCATCGAGCACTTTCGAGTTTATTCAGTTTGCCCGAGTGCAAGTTGCAAGTGCCGCATGAGCTTGTAGTTTTATGGGCGGCCAGATAAATGGAGAGCACAGGCGCAGGCTTGCTTCTTGGTTTAAAAAACTTTAGAGCTGTTTGCCACATTATTAGAAAGGATAAAAAATGAGAAATGAAAACTTTTCTGGGCAAACTTAATTTAAGAGCATCAAAAGGATACAAATGCTGCCTCGCAATTTCCGGTTTGAGATTCGTTTCATTTCAGCCTTTTACCTTATTATTTCTGTCCGCTGCTACCTTTTGCACTTTTTTCTTTTGCTTTGCTTTTGGGGCAACAAGTGTTGACACACAATGGCGCCTGTTGTCGGTTTGAGTTTGACACTTGTTGAAAACTTTTGGCCTAAACTGAGCTGACAACTTGGCCGGCGCCTGGCCAAAAGTTTTTTGGCCCGGTGAGTCCTGTGTCGTGTGCCCCGAGTCCTGCTACTAATTCAATGAGAACTCTGTCAGAAGCTGACAGCTTGTCCAGCCAGCTGCTAATGGCAGTAATACGATTTCAATTACTATTTAATATTATTTACGTCAACTCTCTCCCTCTCTCTCTCTCTTTCATTTTTTGGTTGCGCTGTCAATTATATATCACATCAAAGGCTTGTTTTGCTGCCAGGCCAAAGCAAACAGAACAACGAGCGCGCGCGCGAGCTGTGTCAATAGCGAGCACCATACATATTTAATTGTGCCTGCCCTCAAATATTGGCAAGCCCTCAGCAGCCGAGAACAGTTAACAATGCCAAGCAGCAAGCACCAAGCGTCGAGCGCCAAGCCATTGTTGTCGTCTAGCTTTTGGCCATTAGCCTGCCGTGTGGCAGGTGTGGTAAGTGCTGCTATTGACAGCACCAGCAGCTGGTGGCCTTTTCTCCTTTTCTCCTTTATTCTTTTATCTGTTAATGTTGCTGTTGCTGTTGTTGTTCTTGTTGTTGTTGCCGCATTAGCCGTAGTGTCATTTTAATTGCAGCACATTTGTCAGCGTGGTACGAGGCGAATGCGTGATTTACGGCTCTGTCGCTCTTCACTTGATTGGCATACTTCGTCTCTAATGGCCCCAGCTCCCCGCCCACAGCCGAAAAGTCATTCAAGTTGGTCAACTCAGTCAGTCAGTCAGTCATTCATTTAACATTTAAGACAAATACACAAAGCAAATCAAGTTTCGTTTGCTGCTGTCGTAATCTGACAGAAATCTCTGGCATTGCGCTGAAAAGTATGCTACACAAAGGCGAACTTCTGCTGTGTGTGTGGGGGGAGGGCGTTTCGCTTAATGTGATTGATTATAGCCAGATCATGGCCGGGTCACCTCCGCTGTAATTGAGCATAGCATAGATCGAGCTGCCTGTCAAAAATAGAATTGAGGAGCAGCGCAGCGACGCCTACTTCGATTTGGCACACTTTCGCTCGCTTTGCTGTTGCCAGGGCTGCGCTGGATTTCATTTGTGCCTCTTGCTGCATGCCACGCACACAGCTCTCACATTTCCAATTACGCTTAATATACCCTGAGCCAACTACTGCTGGGGAATTTTGGATATTATCGCGTGCCTGACAGCCGTTTCAGGTATGAAGAGTGTCTGCTTGAGATGGAGCTAATGCAGCTCTAGTTGGTTTATTGCTTTTCGAGAGAACTTTTCCTATTTCGGTTAATTGTGTTGTTAAGATACCAAACTTGAATGACAATAATTTAACACTTGCTAAAACTTGAAAAAAAACTTGATAATAATAAACTATAAAAGAAAATATAATAGCAAATTAATTTAAGAAAAATGTAAGAAATACAATACATGTAAAATTTCCATGAAAACAAAAGAAGACGTTTAACGCTAAAGAAAATATAATAAAATAAAATATAAAATTTTTAATAAAATAAAATATATAATATTTATAAAATATAATAAAATAAAAATTAAAATAAAATTAAATAAAAGCCTTAATAATAATTTTAAAAAATAAATAAAAAAAATTAATTAATCAAATTAAATTGGCTTTAAAAATATTATAAAATAATAAATAAATTAATTAAAAATAATTTAGAAGCGGAATACTATTATATAATAATATAATAAGAAAATATAATAATAAAATAATATAATAAAATTAATTTAAAAACTCTATAAAATACAAAACAAAATCCATGCAAATAATTTAATGGCTTATTTATTTTTAGTCAGATTAAGCAGACTTTAACATTTAAATTTTAATAAATTCGATTGGCTGCTGGGAGCCTCCAGCAAATTATCTCCAAACAGCAAAATTCAACATTTACAAGTCTATGGTCTATACATAGAAAGACTTCCCCTAAATACGAATTTCAAATTTTGCTGAATTCAGTTCTGTGAAAATGGATTGGAGCTGACTGGTTTATGAGGATTAATATAGGATTTAGTGCTGCCCACAAATGCAGAGCTCATTTGGCGCCATAGCTCCATATACGCGGAAGGACTGACAGCTCAGCCAAAGCAGCTCCCATCTAATCTGGTTGCCAATAAAAGCAGGCGAGGGCGGAAAGCCGGAGAAGCTGATGAGTTTGTAGTTTAGTAGATTAGAATGGAATAATGGGGTTGTACAGTCCAACTCACACACTTCATCCTTCAATTTCATATTATGCATGCAGTTCAGGGGTATTTGCTAGTCGGGCATTGCCAGCTTCACACTTTCTCGACTCAAATGAAATTTCTTATGCATGAGAAATTTAAGCTGCTGACAACAGCTAAATGCAATGTATTATACACTCATAACAAGTCGGCAACAGTCAAGCATATCAGCTTTTGATTTTTCTGCCAAGCAGCAGGAGAAGCAGGAGAAGCAGCAGCAACATCTGAATATTAAGAGCTACAAGTATTGTTGAGTTGTTGGCTAGCATAATGAAGCTGCTGTCATTGTTGCTGCTGCTGCTGTCATTGTTGGCACTCGCTGCCATGGGCTGGGGCTCGCAATTGTATCGCGTGCCATTGAGTCGATTCGCGTCGGTGCGGCATCGCTTTCAGCAGTTCGGGATACGCATGGATCGGCTGCGGCTCAGGTACAGCATCTGGGCGAACGAGCAGGAGGCGCGCAGTGTGCCGCTGAGCAACTATCTGGACGCCCAGTACTTTGGCCCCATTAGCATTGGCACGCCCCAGCAGACGTTCAACGTCATCTTCGACACGGGCTCGGCGAACCTGTGGGTGCCCTCGGAGTCGTGCCAGAAGAAGCTCGCCTGCCAGATACACAGTCGCTTCAATGCCAAAAAGTCAAGCAGCTATAGGTCAAATGGCAAACGCTTCGATATACAATACGGGTCGGGCAGTCTGGCCGGCTATCTGTCCCACGACACGGTGCGCGTCGCCGGGCTGGAGATACCGAATCAGACGTTTGCCGAGGCCACGGATATGCCGGGCCCCATCTTTCTGGCAGCCAAATTCGATGGCATCTTCGGGCTGGGCTATCGCGGCATCTCCATACAGAATATCAAGCCGCCGTTCTATGCCATCATGGAGCAGAATCTGCTGAAGCGGCCCGTCTTCTCCGTCTATCTCAATCGCGAACTGAGCAGCAAGCAGGGCGGCTATCTCTTCTTCGGCGGCTCTAGCTCGCGCTACTATCGCGGCAACTTCACCTACGTGCCCGTCACGCATCGCGCCTACTGGCAGGTCAAGCTGGAGACGGCGCGCATCGGCAAGCTGCAGCTGTGCCTGAATGGCTGCCAGGTCATCATCGACACGGGCACCTCCTTCCTGGCCGTGCCCTACGAGCAGGCGATACTCATCAACGAGTCGATAGGCGGCACGCCCGCTGCCTATGGCCAGTTCTCGGTGCCCTGCGACCAGGTGCCCCACCTGCCCACACTAACGTTCACCCTGGGCAATCGGCGCTTCCAGCTGAAGGGCGAGGACTATGTCTTCCATGATATCTTCCAGGATCGCACGGTCTGCGCCTCGGCTTTCATTGCCGTCGACTTGCCCTCGCCCAGCGGACCACTTTGGATATTGGGCGATGTATTCCTGGGCAAATATTATACAGAATTTGACATGGGCAATCATCGCATTGGCTTCGCTGATGCCATCAGCTGAATTCGCTTTAAGTGCTTTAGTTTTCTTCTGTTTTTTATGTGTGTGCGTTTTTTGCTCTTCTTCTTTTTCTTGTTAAATGGCTGCCATGACAGCGAAAAGTCTGCACAGTTGAGGCAAATTTAAGGGAACATCAGAAAACGGCATTTTATTATTTTATTACCTGCTCGGAGCGAGCATTCGGGGGAGGGAGACAGGCGCCAGATACAGGCCCGGCCCAGGCACAGGCCCAAGCCCAGGCTCCATCCGGACCAATCGTATTACGTATACGCCACGTTGACGTCAAATGTCCGCCAAGCTGCGTGGGCGGAAGCTAATCAAAACTCGCTCCCAGCAATCGCAGCAAGTGAAGCCCGTGACAAAATAATGAAGAGCGACGAAGTTGCCTGGCGGAGTTGTACAGCTGTAATTGATTTGCCCAGAAATAAACAATGTCCTTTGCCGCATCCAGATCCACATCCTGGAGCCCAGACGCAGCTGCTTAAAAACTGAAATGAATAGCTTTAAGTTAACAACTGAAGCGCTGCGCTCGCGTTCGCATTTAAATTTAAATTTGGCAAACCGCAACACCCCTTGCCGCCGCACCCAGCCCCGTGACTCGCGTGCACCCTCAACATCCATTAGCTTTCACGTTTTAGGGTTCGACGAGTGTTTTCTTTTTTTTCTGCGAGTTTTACGACCGCTCATAGAACGTTTCGCATTTCTGAGTGAAAGACGAGTTGACGTTTTTATTTTTTATGCTCGAAATCTTACGCTTATATAAACACAACAGCAGATCTTTTTTTATGCAACGGCATAGGGTAACCGTTAGTCGTACAGCTCTCATTTCATTTATTTTTTTTATGTATTTGGTTTTTGATACTTACATCTTTTAGCATGGGCTCTGCTTGGCTTTCTGTGGCTTACAAGACCTTTATTGATATTTGCCTCTTGGCGAGCTGCTTTTGAGGCCTTTTTAAAGCCTTCCACTCATCGTTTCGCCCGGCATAGTTGTGGCTTTAAGATTGTTGATTTTGATTGCTGTTCGTTTAACCTTTTCTTTTCATAATTTCAATACAAAGGAAAACAGGGAATTGGGGAATCCTTTTTGGGCCGTAATGAGTGGTCGATATACGAGCGCAAGCCCAATGTTGACTTTTTTTAGTTGCTATGCTAAGCATGCTGTCGATTTTCTATTTGCTTTCAAGCCTCCGTTACTTGGAACCCAGAAGCTACCTCACATAAAATCCATTTGCAAAATACTTGGGACTCAAAGTGGTTTTTATCGCCAGACGCTTTGCCTGCTAAATGCTAAGCCCTTTATTTTTTTTCTGTACTTTTTGCTGGCCACCAGTTACCAATACAACAACGGCAAGAACTCTAAGCTACTTTGGCATTGTGCAATACGAATGCCTGCGTTTAAAGCGCAAAATTTTTCACAGCATTTTTTCTGTGGCAGTTCTGGGCAGTTCTTGCAGCATTTGCGCAAACGTGGCGCTGGGGATTTGCGCAATCAACAACAAGAAGCAGGACTTCAAGTGAAAATCAGTTATGTAAAATAAAGCAAACCACTGCCAGTTCAGTGAGTCTTTGCCCAAAAAGAAAAGGGTAAGCACGTGCTCAAATCCTAGTGCAAAGCAAAGCAATTTACCGAAAATAAACTGTAGCATACTTTTAAGCGCAACATAAATACTTGTAAAAAATAAAGTGTAGCATACTTACGAGCGCAATTTTAAGTGGTACAACTATAAAATCGTATTATATGTATTTTTAATAAAAAGCACTCGTGTCGACACTTGTCTGGTAATTCGAGCGCCAAACAGCCAAATTGAATCAAGTGTGCTTGGGTTTGTAATATGTGAAACAGTTTGTCACATATTTTGGACGGCCCGAAAAGGCCTTCAAAAAACTGAAAACCGTAAACTGTAAACACCCACATAATCACCATGACAGCCAGTCAGCCAGTCAGTCAGGCAGTCAGCAAAAGTAAGTAAGTAATTGGCTGAGGCAGCTTACAGTCCACACACACTCACACACAAACAGAGAGAGAGAGCCACACAGCCAGCTCATTTGTTTTAACAATAGTGGCTGGGCAACAGGATAACGCGATAAGCATCACAAAGCTAAATGGCAAAGAGCCTGCGACTGCCGCTGACAGGCTCACCAGCAGCAGCAGAGGCAGCAGCAGCAGCGGCATCCGCAGCAGAATTAAATCATTCGATAAGATTATGCAAACATTGTCATCGCCAGTGGCATTGTCCTGCCAGCCTGCCTGGACCCAACATTTCAATGTAAATTTATTTGCTTGCTGTTTTTATTAAATTTTTGTTGGTCGTCGGCGGCAAAGCAAAGCCCAAAGCTAATGACACTCAAAAATTGGGCTAATGAGTCAATAAGGCAATTTGCCGACTGGCAAAAAATTCCAATGAGCTGGGACCAGAGACCGCACGCAATGGGGATAGAGAGAGACGAGAGAGAGAGAGAGAGAGAGACAGCAGCAGGAGTAGGCTATGCCTAAGTTATTATGCCACTTAATTACTTTAATATGGCATTTATGTGAAATGCCTTGCTTAGCCACAACAATCGTTCTGTGCCCTTCCCTCTCCCTCCCTTTATCTATCTGTCTCGTTTCTAGCCTGTCTGCTGTTTTGATAGGTAGCTTGGCTTGGCAGGCAGCTAGCCAGGTAGCTCGAGTCCTGTGTTTGCATTGCCATGTGGGGACGCCTGTCTACGTTGTAAATGTCAATTAGTTTTTGAGCCCATAGCAATTAAACCTATATATGTATGTATGTGTGCACAGCTGCTGCACACACACACACACTCAGCGTTAGAATACTCTGTCAATCATTGCAATTGAAGTCTGCAGCAATGCTGGCAATTAGTTTAAGTGCATGTGCTTTAAGGTATAGCAACTTGAGCTGCCTGTAAAAAAATTGTACATCATTTATCAAAAATCCTTTTGTGTGTCTGCAGCTAAAACACATTAATCTAAGCCGCCTGGCGAGTGGCGCTCGAACAGTTTGCCATTTCAAATGGCGTTTGGCTGTCGTAGTTGTGGTGGCCAACCATGTTGCTGTTGCTCAATATATTTGGTCGTAGGTAAGGTCCTGTCTTGGCTTTCTTACTCGAAAGATTACGTGTCTTAACTTAAGTCTTAGCATCTGTCTCTAAGACACACCCACACAGGCGGACCTGTGTCTTGGTCTGTTTCCAATAATGTTGCAACAACTTCAACTGTCAGCTTGCCTCATTTTTTAAGCGACAAACGTGCCGATGACAACGCTCTATCGATCAGCAGCTCCTTGGACTTTAAGGTGTGCTTAAACTCATATATTGCGCATACGCAGCGTATGAACGTTGGCTTGTTGATTGCATTGCAGCAATTAGAGCACTTCATGGCACAGTTCAATTTTTGTGCGCATGTGTGTGGATGTGTGTGTGTGTGTGTGTGTGTGTGTGTGTAGGTATGTGTGTGTTTGTTTGACATTGGCATTGAGCCTTTTGTAAGCTGTCAAAGCAGCTGGCGTGCAGCTCGTTTCGCACGCCTGTGACATGCATACTAATTAAGCAGTTTGCCAAGGCTTTAAAATTTCAAAAACAGACACAAGCACACACACGCACACACACGCACGTACGTCACACGCATCGCAGCTTAAAATGGCTTTTCGAAAATGCTGCATAATGAAGCTAATCAGGCGCGTTGTACGCGTTGACGAGCTTAGCGCTAAATAAAACTGTGAAATTTCAATGGGAATTCGAATGCGAATCGCGAGTTTTAGAATATGCGAATTTACGAATGTCTCGCACTTGATAAACTTAACAGTTAACTGCAATGTGGAGCCTAATTAGGACACTGGCGCTGCAGTGCTAGTGACTGGCAGGATAGTTTGGATGGGAGTGGCATGTGGCATTTGGCGTGTGGCGTGTGGCATGCAGCGTCAAGCGCAGGGCGCCAACAAAGCAAATTCCCATAAAATATTTAACACCTTGACAGCACTTCAGTGTATGAGTGTATGAGTGTCTGTGTGCGTGTGTGTGCTCGACAGTCAACAGTAAAATAGAAAATAAAAAAAAAATGTAACTTTGTTGGCGCCCCATTGTCAAAAAGCGCCAAGTCATTTTTAGTTGTTTACGGCCAGACCCACTGGGACCCACAGTGAGACCCACAAACCTCAGCTGCCAAGCTGCGATTTCAGTCAAATGGCCAAAACTTGCGTCGCCCTTAAAAAGAAGATAAACGAGTTTTAGTTCTCTTTAGAGGTTCCCGAAAAGTTGCTGCCAAAAGTGCAGCTAATTGAATTGCAATTTCATGGAAAGCTCTTTAGCCTGTCAGGTAAATACATGAAAACAAGCTCGTTGCGTGTTTTTTATGAGTGACAGTGATTAAATAATTTAGTTGGCCTTAAGTGCCAAGTCATGCACGGCCTGTGTTAATTGAGTTGCCACACACAAGTCAAGGAAGCATTTAAATTGAATGAAATCTGTTGAAAATATAAGTATAAGGAATTTCTTTTATTTAATGTATATTAAATATTTTAAAAGAAATTAGAATGGAAATCTGAAGGAAACTGGTAAGCCCCAAAAAATCAATTTAACTTTGATAAAGTTGTGCAAGTTTCAAAGTAAGGGAGATGCGCAGAAGCTTTATAAGTACAGAAAGTTTTAAGGGATAATCATTTCAATTGCATTTTCATTCCATTTCACAATAATTAATATTAATATACATTTGTAAGAGTTCTAGGCTCTGCTGCTTAAGTAAGTTCCCATTTATATAATTTATATGTATAAGAAATTGTATTGCATGGCCATAATGAAGACCTAATTAAAATAAAAATGTATAAATTATTAAACAAAATATTTTTGTATATACATATATAGTTAATATTAATTGTTATATTTCATAAACTAGCTTCAATATTTAAGCGCTTTCTGTTAATGAAAATATGACAGCTGACAAATATTTTTAGACAGATGAAGCGCCATAAAATTATACAAATTAAATGCACTAAAATTTAAGTTAAAGTTAACCCAGAGGCAAGTAGTTGCATTTCAGCTAGCTTGAATCTGGCTTAACATTGCAGTTCTGCTCGTAACAGACTCATTAACAGCGATTGTTAATGAGCGC